TTTTGTAAATTTACACAATTTTACATTTGAATTTATTTGTTCATTGCTCAGTGGAATATAAGAGGGATAAAACATTTTAGAAATTAGAAATAAAAATTATCTTGAAATATTTCAGGCCATAGCACAGAAGCAGATGCATTATCCTTGCATTCAATATTTACATACAGATAGTACAATTTCATCAAGCATCGGTACTATTTCAGCATGAAGATAATTCTTGCACTGTGCTCCATGTTCTACATAATAAAATAAACTCTTCCTCACTATTATGGTTTCTTTCTATTGGAGAGGGAATTGGGCTGGAGTAGTTCTAATTGTAATTACTGTATACATAGTCACTGCTTTACTTTAAATTAAATGTCAAGAAGTGGAGCGATATTTAGGTAATCAGCCCCTTCCCACATGCAGCCAAAATGAGAAAATGAAGGAATGAATATACTTATACTTCTTAATTAATCTTAATTAATCTTAATCCAAGGTAATTTTTTCAGAAATATTACCTGTGCCGCGCACTACAGCAGAAAGGCAGCGGGAGATTAGAGAGGTCAATGCGTGGCTAAAGTCTTGGTGCAGGAAAGAGGGTTTTGGGTTTTTAGAGCACTGGGCCGATTTTGCGCTTGGGTACAACCTGTATAGTCATGATGGATTGCACCTAAACGGAAGAGGGTCTGCTGTGCTGGGGGATAGGATGGCTAGAAGGTTGGAGGAGATTTTAAACTAGTGGTGGGGGGGAGGGTAAAAGCAATCTAGAAAATGGAGATAGGATGGAAAGGAGATGGGCTTTAGCTCAGAACAAAGGGGGTGGAGATGGGGGGAGGGGAAAACTCAGTACAGATGAGGTATGTAATATTGATAATTCACAAAAAGTACAAAAGACTCATGATAATATTAAATGTATGCTTACTAATGCAAGGAGACTATATAACAAAATGGGGGAACTAGAGGCAATAGCATACAATAAACAATATGATATAATAGGCATAACAGAAACATGGTGGGATGAGACACATGACTGGGCAGTTAATTTAAATGGGTTCACGTTATTTAGGAAGGATAGGAAAAACAAGAAGGGTGGTGGGGAATTTTTATATGTCAACCATGAGTTAAAGTCAAATACCTCACCTGATTTAACTAAAGAGACATCTCGCAGTGTGGGAAAGCGTGCTTGTGCGTCACAGTTAAATACACCGTTGTACTCACCATCAATTCTAGTAAGCAGTTATCTGTTTACCTTTTTTATTCAAATTTGATTGATTTTGTATTCTGTATTTTTAATGTTTTATTGTGAATAAATGTTTATTTCACTATTAAATTCATCAAGTATACTATATAACATATATGTTAAGTAGCACTATATATAAAAGTGCAATTTATACATTATATATGCAGATTTACACTATCTTTATTTCTAATTCTTTTTTTTCATATACAACACATGACTTTGAGCGTGTGACTACTACTTATTAAGAAGTATAAGTATATTCATTCCTTCATTTTCTCATTTTGGCTGCATGTAGGAAGGGGCTGATTACCTAAATATCGCTCCACTTCTTGACATTTATTTTGATTATCTTTACTGTGTGGTGAAGGGAACACGCTGAAGTGTCATAGCTGGATAATTTATATCAATTTAATATACTACTTATTTATAATTGTGTATAGGTAACATTTGGTTTACTCTTATATACCTTGTATAATACGATTTAGCGCTCCGAGATCATTTAATTTTACTTTAAATGTTTCTGTATGCCTGTACAGCAATTTACAAACATAATTGTATTTTAATCCTACTTTTACGTGCTGGCTATGTATACCATGATTTAAACAAATGTTATAGCAATAAACAAGTAATAAACAAAGAGTGGATGGAAGTTAAGAGGTTAACCAGAATAACACCGATCCCACGTTCCCATTGTGGCTGAAACCTGCTGTTATAGCAGTTTTATCATGTTACTGGAAAGTTGCAGCAAGTCACAACTGCTTGTAAATAGTTACACCTGTGACCCGAACCATCTCACACAATTAAAAATAAATTGTTGCTGCAATAGAAAGTCAGCGAGCAAGTGATTTCTGTGAAAGAGGCTTTTATGAAACAGCAGCATTCATTGGTGTCTGTTTATACAAGTTCCAGAATAAAAACAAGGTGTAAATATGAGTAAACATCTGACATATTGAAGAAATCCAATCCTCCTCTATATAAAAAATTGTTTTTAAAGCGGTTGTTGTTTTTCTTTTCAAATTAAATCTGTACGTCCGCCCTTCCATCTCTGTCTGTGTGTGTCTGTCTGTGTGTGTGTGTGTCTGTCTGTGTATCTGTCTGTCTATCTGTTTGTCTGTCTGTGTATCTGTCTGTCTGTCTGTGTGTTTGTCTGTCTGTCTTTCTTTCTGTCTTTATGCTTTAGTGAAGAAGACACAGCTCCATTTCTCAAGCAACCATGATCCTAATGCAACAACATTGCCTTATACAATATGGAGCTCCTAGAAAACAAAAAATAGAAAAGGGACATAGGAAATTGGGCACAGAATAAGGATTGTCCCTACCAAACAGGGACACGTGGGAGATATGCATGTAGTCCAGATTGTAAGTGTTCACACGTTTGTTCTAAATGCAGATAAATGATGGTTTTAAATGGAATCTCATGATTAAATACAGGAGACCAAGTCAAGGATATATTTAAATGTATTATTCTTACTGATAAACATAAAATAATGCAAGAGACATTCTCCCAACTGCTTTTGAATGCCCTTGCCATGTCATGAAATATTTATTTAATCAAATCAAATTCAAATATGTAGTCATGTGACACATGGAAATTTTGCTGTCAAGTCGGAATGTTTTGTTACTGTAGCCGCAGACAACACTTTGTTGTGATTTAAAAATATAAAAGAAAGTATATGATATATAATAAGCAATCAACTTAAATTGATATTAAACATTTTAATTTGATTGTTTATTGTTGACATAGTATTTTATCAGTGTGGAATTGTGGATTTTTATATTTTGCATTACTTGAAGGGTAACACATTACACTTGCTTAGGAGTCTTCTTTCAAAAAGCCCCAGATTTCTCTCAAGATCAATCACACTTTCTTATTAAGGAATTGAGTAAGAATGAGGAAGTCATCACATCCTATAAAAGGATAAGGGCTAGAAAAAATAGACAGGATTTGGAGCAAAAAATGTAACGATGAGACTAACAGAGGGACTGCCATTTCATTGACAATGGAAACAACTAAGTTAAAGCAGTCTGTCACCACCCTTCTCCCACCCCCTGAAGACAGAATCTTTATGAAATTCACTGAATTTTCAACCCAGTCAAGAGATATACTGACACAAAGTAGGCACTACTTTGTCTTTGTATATTTCTTATGTCTGATGCTTCTGGACAATGGTCGGAGCTACCACTGCCTAGAAGTGTGACTCTGCCATGTAATCACCAGTGACGGCTTCAGGGAATTGGCTCTGTCTATAGAGTATCCCGCAGACTTGTGGCATCCTCTTTAGACCTTCATGTGCACTGACATCAGCTCCAGGCAGCTGAAGAGTATTCTCCGGAAGAAGATGGTGTCGCCCGAGAGGGACCGGTTCAGATAAGTAGAACTCACCTTTGCCTCTTTGTGTATGATTTTGTATTGTGCATGTTATTTATAGTTTTAACTTTAAACACCTTTTAGTCCTCTTTGGTCTGGAGCACCACTTATCCAACCAAAGACCATATACAAATTAAATGGCTGAAACCAAATTGAAGCACATTTTATAAACATAGAAACACAGAATGTGACGGCAGATAAGAACCATTCGGCCCATCTAGTCTGCCCAATTTTCTAAATACTTTCATTAGTCCCTAGTCTTATCTTATAGCTAGGATAGCTAGGATAACTGGCAACTGAACATTATAGAAAAAACTTTCAAATAAAGCTGCCTTACTAGAATGCAGCCAATAAGAAAGGAACCCAGTCCAATCTCAACAGAAAGTATAAATAGTACCAGAAAAATAATAAAACTTTATTAGAATATAATAAGAAAAAAAAAACCTAAGACTACAAAAGATGTCAGAGGTCTATTACTAGAAAAGGTATAGTATATAAATGAACCTCATCAGTTGCCAGAAAAAAGAGGCAGTAAACTAAACTGGTATTAAGTATACCTTAGGGAATAGCAGCATAGAAGACCTAAATAGGAAAGAGAGGATACATATGTGGTATATAGTATATGGAGACCCAAGAAAAAGGGGGGGAAGGAAAATGCCCCAATTGTAACATAAAGGGAACCAGTGAAATACTAATACCCAAAATCAAACGCCCCCCTTCCTAAGTCAAAAAGACAAATCCTATTATTGAGCAATCATTCTAAGCTAATCGCTATCTCCTAAATAACACCTTCGTGGGTGTTCTGATCTAATAACTAAACCTAGACATCTATAGTCGGAATAGTATTGTGCCCAGTGCTCATAACTGCAAAACAAAAGAAACCCAACACGCGTTTCGGCGAACTACACGCCGTCCTCAGGGGTATTGCAATACTAATCATCTTTTGTAGTCTTAGGGTTTTTTTTCTTATTATATTCTAATAAAGTTTTATTATTTTTCTGGTACTATTTATACTTTCTGTTGAGATTGGACTGGGTTCCTTTCTTATTGGCTGCATTCTAGTAAGGCAGCTTTTTTTGAAAGTTTTTTCTATAATTTACTATTTCTTGGGTTATCCCCTATTACCCAGTTTAGGTGACCATATTTACCCAGGGGAAGGGAGAGAGGCAGGGTATTTTTCCCTGTCCCTATCTTCCAGTCCCCTGTGTATGTTTCCTATTTTTTGGCAACTGAACATGATATGAAGATTATGAAAACCATTCTAGACCTCCAACAAATGCAAGTGGTACCTTTAACTCAAGAAGACTTACATAATGACAGATCCTGGAAGAATAATTCAGGATATGTACTCAAAGGAGATTTTCGCTAATATGTATGCATTATAAAATGTTACACACACAAGGCTATAATATATATAATATTTTATTGCAAATAATAGTAAAGGCTATGACCATTTTCGTTTATGAAAATGTAGGATGTACATAAGGTTATCTTTAAAAACCAAGAAAAAAAAGAAAAATCAATCTGGAATTTTAATTAGTCCCTATCAGTTTTCACCATGCTTCCACGAGTCCTTTTTTGAGTATGCGTCGTACGTCCCATTCAAGCTTTTCTCTTCACTGTCCTTTCTCGGAGTCAATACTTCCAAGACATTAAACAAACTTTCCATTAACATGCTCCACAATGATTTTCTGATACATATCAAGATGATTAGACTTAAACCGTAAGAGCTACGTCTAGGTACGGCTTTAATTCTGCTCATGTTTAAACAAGGATTAGTGGATATCATAGCATCTTAGATTGTAAGCTGATATGAGCAAGGTTCTCTTAACCTGTAGCATCTGTCAACATATTCATATCCCCACTGTATATTTGTAAAGTTTTGGGGAATGAGTTGTATAAAAGCTGCTACTTTATAATATAATACAAAATTAGCCACTAGTTTGATTTCACTGCCTCTTTAATCCTCAAAATACCACGTAACCTGTAAAAGGCAAACAAGGAGTGATAGAAGATCCAGCTCCATACTGCATGTCATTGTCCGCATTACTCGGCTTAGCATGTATGTAGACTTTCTGGGTGTAGAAAGAAATTAACAAGACCCAGTGCCCAGAGCATCCAAAGTTTGCTTCATATGCTTTTAAAACACTATCCAGACAATCACTAGAGAAGAACACTAATGGCATCTTCAGAGGAGATGTTTCCCCTTGAAACTCTGCCAAACAATCCAGATCCAGTCAATCATTTATGGTTGTGTTTTGCCACAAGTATCACAATCTTTCCACAGCACCTGGAGATCTTCAGCTTTTCGCTTCCTGAACCAGTTTTCGTACAGCATTTGGTGGCAATATTTTCTTGCGGCCCCTCTTAGGTAGCAACGGAACTGTTCCACCAAAACTGAACATCTTAATGATGGACACTACAGCGGTGAGAAGGCTGAACTTTTTGTGAATTGGTTTATGTCCATCTCCCAGTTTGAGGAAATGAATGACTGTTTGCCTACCATGCTCTGAGGTGTCTCTGCTTTTAACCATGATGCAGGCTTGAAGGTGTTCCATAAAACTGCTTCCTCAATTTATACGCAGATGGTAGCAGGGGTCTTTTTAAAGCTTCAGTACATTTCCACATGATTCTGTTCAGTGTTTAGAAAATGTTGATGCAGGATTAGTTTTGTATTCACTATTTTTCAAACACATGATGTTAAACTGTGTATGATTGTCAGTGGTAACAACAAGTCAAAAAACAATTAATCTAAGCAAACAGACACACATACAAACTGATTCAACATCGCAAAGGTTTAACCTCTTAAGGGATAGTCTCAGTCTATATCATCATAACAACCCTCGTGAAAAAAAAACAAGGGAAACAAAAAAACCCAAAAAAGGTGGTAAAGTTAAATAAGAATTTATGGACCTGGCTGTGATTATGGTAAATTGACGATTCAGTCTTTAAGAGATTAAAAATTTGCGGCCTTCTTTGACGTTATTATGTGCTGCATGTAGAGCCTTCACAAAATTTAAATGTTAGACACCAACGAATAAAGCGAGCAATGGACATGCTGTAATACAAAGTCAGGAAAAGAAGGAAGCAAATTGATAAGTAAATGAAAGTAACAAGATAAAAACGTCTCCCTGGAACATTAAAGTAAATATAAACCAAAATACAATGCCAATATATATATATCCGGTACCTCTATTTACATGAATAGGAAGTCATCTATTAGACGCTATCTGTTACCGCATTAGCAAGTAACTGCGAGGATCCCGCAACACTCTGAAAGCTAGATACGGTGTCTCAGAACACTTAAAGACAGTTCGGCCAAGGATTGCCCTTAACATATCTGACAGGTTAAAAAATATGATATTTGGTCAGAAGGGGACCAGACTAAGGCATGCAAAACCCATGCTCTCACCCACGATATATCGAGCTGTGTGCACCCTAGAAATGAATATGAGAGTGTAGTGTATATTCTGTGCTTCAAGTAATAAGTCAATTTCATATAAAAATGTCAAAAACCCAAAACACTATCTTTTTTTTTCTCTGTGATGACCTCATTACATTAGACATCCTTTATATTTATCCCAGACTGTGGAAACAGATACAAGGATATGCAAAGGGATTTAAAGCAAAGAATCACGAATTTACAGCACTCTAAACACAACATGCTGTGGTAGGCTGTCTTCTCACGTCAATGAATTCAAAAGTTTAAAACAAGGATATATTTTAATTACTTGTATAGATAAAGGCCATTTGCAAGTTTCATACTGTTTCCAATTACATTCTCCGCAGGGGTGCAGTAACCGCTTCTTTTGACCTGAAGGTCATGTTTGTCTATTTAATCACATAAGATTGCTTCAAAACAAAACTTTCTCAATATTTAAATCAAGGAAAACTCACATTTGATATGTTGCTGAATTCATTAGTGTTCAAAGATGTAATGGCCATTTCCCTTTAAGTTAAAACTGTTTGGGTTTTTCTTGCCTCTTCAATTCTTCCAGTGTGACAAGAAGTAATCAAATTACAAAAATGTACTAAGCAAGTTTCACTGTCCCTCTTCTAAGCAGTAACAATCAGACTGCTGCCAGCAATCTGTATAATACTTAGGAAACACAGCAGCTTCTACATGAGGGAAGGGCAATTAAAGGGACATTCCACTGCCCAAATTCATAAATAAATCCCAGTTTAGTAGACATACCCTCAGTAAAAACATGCATGAATATAATTATGCAGTTTTTAATGGGTGTATATCTAAAAACAGCTTCTAAAACCTGCAGTTCTCTTGTCTGCAGCCTTTTAAGTCCTCCTCTTCTAACTCCGTCCAGACTTTCTGTGGCTCTCCAATCACAGACTACCCAATGCAGCTCAATGAGAAATCTTTGCAAGGCATGTGCCCTAGGCAGTTGCTGTCTGTACAGTTTAGTTCCACTGAGCTAAACAAACCAGGAAGTAACAGGTACTGTTGTCTAATTGACAGCCAGAGGGGTGTAACCAGGTTAATTTATAAAGGTGTCAATTTCTTTTGATATCTGCACTTTTTGTAAAATGAAAAAAAAAAAAGAAAATAGGACACACTCCTCACACATAAAGTACTTCAGCAAGCTATTGTGCTTTAGGCATCTGGAGTGTCACTTTAAGCAGGCTCCATTCCCTGAAATCTTTTAAGATACAAAATCGTGTAAATTAAACATATGAAAAGTTAATTTTGTTTACACAATTATTTATCTTGAATGATTTTGCTTTATTTTCTGATAATTAACAGGAAAACAAATCTACATATATTTTTCAAAGCTAAAAAGCCTATTTTTTTAAAATTGCCCTTAAACTTATTAGACGGTGTTAGTCATTAAACCTGATCTGTGCTAAACTTACTGAGGAATATCACATTTAATGCCAATATAGCTAAGCTGGAAATATAAGCCGTGTTAGAAAACGTTTCCAATACACTATTTTTGTCCTACCTAAAATTAACAACTTGTAGACAAATTAATGTTTAATTAATGAATAACCTTGGATGTATTCATTTTCTAAAGCTTTATAAAAAAAAATGTTTTTTCTCATTTTTAACTTCTTAAGGGTTAGTGCAGCTCATTGTCAGCAGCATCTAAAGTTCTGAAAGTCATGCCCATAGCTAAAACAATTCCTATGACTGTAAGCCGGCCGCAGACATGATAATTCTGTTAAGGTGATATCTGAGCAATTTGGCACTTGTAGTTCCAGTATAGGTGGAAAGGACCCTGTCTACAATCTCAGATCAACAGGCCATTTAAATATCCATTACTTGGAACTTGCAGAACTCCGTGACATTGAATGTAATAGGCGAGAACATTGCTCAAGTCCACATTATCTTGAGACAAAACATTTTTTTAATGAAAATACATCACTGTTATCTGCATGAACCTTGATGTATGATGAGCAATTCAGCAAGTCAAAGAAAACAGCTTGATAGTCTAGATATTATTTCACATGAGTGCAAGTTCTAAGAAAGTATGACTCAATGTAATTTGGAACAGAAAGCATTATGAAATAGTAGTAGACTAACTAAATGGTGCCTAGGGAGAGGAGGCTTAGTGGGCATGGTGCCATATTTTACCATACTGAATGTACAGAGCAAACACTGCCATACCGTGCTCTTTGAGCCTGCCCTGCACTGGTCCACATGAGTGCTCCTATCCTTACTTCAATTGTAAAGGTTTCCCTGCCATGGGTATTCAGGGGGGTTTACCTTTTCATACTAGGTTTTAAGATACTTCTTTGCCTGTGGGTTTTATCCCTCTTATTCCGCTCTATCATGACATCCAGAAGTTTTTCCCTCTGCCCATCCTGGGATCTCAGAGCCTGCTCTGCCACAAACTATCTGGGTTTTTACATCATATATTTGTCTTTCAGAGTCTGCTCTGGGATGAAGATCCTGGACTTTTTTCTTCTCATTTTGGACTCTCTGGGCATTCTATCCCATGGTTAGTCTGGGTTTTATTTTTCTGATATTGACATCATACAAACTGGTCTGCCACAATACAAACTGGTCTGCCACAGGTTCTCTTGAGCATACTGAGTTATTGATACCCCATTGGAGGTACTGATGTGTCACAAAATAAATTCATGATTTGGAACCTCACTAAAAATTGATTAGCAGCAGAAATACCTCCTGCCATTTTGCAGTCTTTATATAAAATGGGCCAACTACCGCTAATTACAGGGTCAACATCTTTCTTTTCAGAGCAGTTCAAATATGAATCAATATCTGTTTTTTCTCTATCTTACACAACTTGCGTGTTTTTATATAGGTCATTATTTTTCCTCTGGTTGCTATAATTCTCATATAACACCACAAAGATGTATGTGAACTGGCTGCCTTTAAAATGGAACAGCCAAAATGGTAATTTTAAAACATTAGTCACACAACAGTGCCTTGGTAATAAAGCTGTGTTGACAAAAATGCACTTCTTAGTACATATAACTGTAACTGAGTTCTACAGCTGATATTAATATGCCCTTTGCATTGTATAGAGACTTCGATATGACAGCCATTTAGTCAGAACATGACTAAAAAGCAAAGTGCCATCAAATGCTGATGACACCTCACATTTAACAGTAATATAGACAATAATTAAATCAATAAAATTATATTTTCAGTTCTGTGCATACCTCAGTTCCCGACATACCTGCACTATACATTCAGCTGATCGTTATCAGACTGTTTACACAATCATACCCTACAGCAAAGGAGTGTTGAGAAAAATCTTGTCTCGTCCCTGCCCAAAATGAGCTGTGTGGGTGGTATCGTGGGTCCCTAACATGTAAACATATATCAATATGGCCTACGGAGAATCCTGTCAGAGATAGATTATTACATTTATAAAGCTTTTTTGAGTTCTGAAAATTATATAAATAAATACAATATGACAGAGCATGGAAACTTATAACTGGTTATTGTTATTTAATACAAATGATTGCATTGTTATAGCCTCTGTGTGTGTATTATTTTACAATGCTCCAATGCTGACATTTACAAAAATAAAACCCTCTTTTCATTGCATCTCTTGGCAAATTCATGCTCACTGAGGGTGAATATTTTTAAGTCATCTTTGGTCAGATAAGCAGTGCAGGTAACCAAGAGTTAGTTACAATTCCATCACACGCAAGTGAAATTAGACATTATTTAGCTGTTCATTGATTGGATACATTGATCTTCCAACCAAACAGGATCTAAAGATGGCTGACGCCACAGTGCATGGATGGGTGGTGGGTGACAAGTTTCCTTTTAGCTAGGTTTAGATTTAACCTATACATCACGGTTGCAAAATAAATCACCAGCTAATATATAGTCAGAGAGTACACAATTTGCTCCCTTCAGCTGTACTATGGGTCCCTGTAATGGACAGATTAACTGTATATGTATCTGCCATGAACAATCTGCATGTGTACACTAGCAATTGTGGTATACCACTGTTCAGTGCAGGTTTACACAATATTACATTTGTTTACACCTAACAAATACATATTTGTTAAAAGGATACTTCACAATCCACATACAAAATACATTTTAAAAATACTATTTAGTTGAATAGCTTTTTAAAACATGTTTTTTTTTCTTTGTTGTTTGTTTTTTTATTGTTGTTTTTACTTACAAAATGA